AGAACCCATATCATGTCCAGCTCCATGGATAATTGCCCTCTCCTTTCTCTCATATCCAGAGGGCTGATTACACAATTAATTATAAGCTGTAATGTTCAGCTTTTGTGCAAATGAATGTACAAATGTCCTAAGAATCCATTCTTTCTTATCGTTTTTAAATGTCTGCTTTAACGCTGTTTTAGATGGACGGATCGGTGATGATGAACAGTGCGAGGAAGCGCCTTTCGATGCTGCCCTCCTCCCCGATTCGGAGATCCGATAGGTACGCGAGGGAGAGACTTGTAGAAGCAACTCGTGACTCTTTGCTAAGTGTGACCAAAATCACTTTAAGCCCAAGAGAAAGTAAACATCGAGCAGGTGAAGCTTCGAAACCGGCTGCTAGGAGAGAGAAGAGCTCAGAAAGAGCCGGCTCTAGCAAAGGAGGTTCACAGTTACTTCTGCAGAGTTGTCAAGGGTTGGGTGCGGTGTCAGGCTCGAGAGGGTCTTCTTCCATTCTTAACAAGAGGATCTATGGCAGTTACACAAATAGCCGGACCCTGGCGTCAGCCAATTCCTCGCACTCTCCAGCGATTAAAAAAGCAAAGCCGTCAACGGTTGGATCATTGAAAGCAAATACTAACTGTTTACAGTCTTGGAGTTCACCTACCAAAGAGACCAATGGCACTGTGAGCGCCACATCAACACCTACAAGGAAGGGTAATGCTCGCACCTCATTGCTACCCTCCAAGAGTAATGCTCGCACCGCATTGCTACCCTCCAAGAGTAATGCTCGCACCTCATTGCTACCCTCAAAGAGTAATGCTCGCACCTCATTGCTACCTTCCAAGAGTAATGCTCGCACCTCATTCTTACAGTCCGAGAGTAATGAACGATCCACATTGTTACCTTCAAAGATTAATGAACGGTCCACATTGTTACCCCCAAAGAGTAATGATCACATCTCATTGATACCCTCAAAGAGTAACGATCACACCTCATTGATACCCTCAAAGAGTAATGAACCATCCGCAGTGATACCTACAAGGAGAAATGATGGCGCCACATTTACATCTGCAGAGAGCAGTGACTGGGCTACATTCACACGTCCAGCAGAGCAGAAGAGTGAGCAAGCAGAAGCTTCCATCTCCAGCCTTCATCAGTGCACCAACAGCTCACCAGCCACCTCGACTGTAAACCCTGCTCCACTTACCCTTTTGGAAAACACTAATCACTGGATTGATCTGGACGGGAGTGATGATGAAGTAGTGGGTATGTTCTCGATCCCCCCCCCCCGAGTCTTTGTGCAGTGAGAGTGGTTTAGTTAAGGCGCTGCATTTACTTATTTGTGTTTAACTTTAAAGGTTTGTGGTTCCATCAAGGCAAGCGCAATACAAGTGTTGCAGGTGGCCCCCATTTCCTCCTCGTTGTTAGCATTGCCTTTAAACAGCTCAATTAATGATATTCAGCTTGGCTTAGTTATTAGTATTCTTGTCTCTGGGACAGAGGATTGTGAGGTCAGCCTCCATGGCTCATAATATCAGTGAGATATCAGGAAGCACTTTATTGCCAGAGTTACTGTCTTCCAGCAGTTACCCCAACACACACTCTGGGCTCCCCCCAAACCTTGGCTCTTGCCAACCTTAGCCTAACACTTTCCAGAATAACTCTCTCCAGGGAGCGAGAGAGAGAGGGAGAGCGCATTCCATTCCACAATCTCTCTGGGATTTCCATGTGTAGGTGGGAGGTGTGGAATTCTCAGCTTGGTTTGGATTCTCTTAAGTAACGGTGATGGGTTTCCGCACGTGTCAGACATCAAATGCAAAGCTTATTAATGTCATTCTAAACCGTTCAGTCCAGGTTCATAGGTACTTAAACTTGCACATTCTTACGCTGAATAAATGCTGCTGCATTATCTTTTTTATTTTGATTAACTTTGCTTTATTCTTGTATGATGCTGATTTGTTGAACTGCAAAATTCAAAGAGGATTATTTTTATTCCCACGTCAAATAAATTGATTGTTCAGGGAATTGTTTTCCAGCTATTTCAGAGCCAAGCAGCCGAGACCCCCAGGTTATGGTGATCATTGATGATAATACAGCTGTTCAGCTTGCTCAACTCGAAGAGGATGAAGTATTTGCCAGGCATCTTCAGGTTAATAAATCTAATAATTACTCACTAGAATGTGAATGTGTAATATTAATAATCCTTGCATTTGATATAGCCCCTTGTCATGTCTTCGAGACGACTCAATGCACTTTACAGAATATACTGTAAAGTGAAATATATATATAATTTCTTAATTTCTTGCAAATCCAATGTTTGCCAGTAAGTGCGCATGTGGTAACATGTTGAGACGCATTGAATCACAGGAAATGTAGTCTTAATTCATCACCACGTGAGCACTTACTGGCTACATTAAATTGCACGTGTGCAGTGTAGATTATTGATTAAATCAGATTTCCTACAACTTCTACCATTTGCCTTAAACCTGAACTTTGAGTAAGTCGTATTAATTGTTTCTCACTGATGCGACTTGTGTGAGTTTTACTGTATTCGCTAATGTTGCATCTACTTTCTATGGCTTTTAACTAAGCTGCTGTTATTAGAAAGCTTTCAGAAAATTATTTTAATTGCTTATTTGCTTTTGGGCTGGTATTAATACCTTGACTAATCCACTGTATTACTAGACTGCAATATATAGCAAAGACACTTTGAGATAGCCTTTAGGAATAGAGCAGGTGGGCATTTACTTCTGCCTCCATCGTGATTAATTAAATACCTGCTTACAGCTTCGCAAGGAGTACGTGGAATAACAAATGCCTAAATCCAAAACTATTTTGTAGTTTATTAAGTGTATTTTTTTTGACAGGCTCAGTTTGATATGGAAGCTCTGCAATACGGCAGGGAGAATGTTGCTACAGGGAGACCATCAAATGCAGTAAGTGCTGAGAACTCAAACGTGTACATCTGTCCGGTGAGGATGTGTGAAAGCAGGCGCGGGAGTAATACTGTTATGAAGTCGCAAAGATTGTGCATTCGATTTTTGGATTACACTGTAGTCTCAAACAAGGAAGCAATTGGGCGAGCTAACATAACAATCCTTGCACTTGCTGCAGCACCTGATCACATCGTTGAGATGTTTCAAAATGCTTTGCAGAATATACTGTAAAGTGTAGTGGCTGTGTATTTTGTGGGCGAAACGCGGCAGCCAGTTGCGCACAGCTGCGTCCCCACAAACAGTCATGGATTGAGTGACCAAATTATTTTTTTATTTGATGGGATTACCCCCAGAAAAGCAGTCCGCCAATCGACTAACACTCGGGTTCCTACTTACTGCCAACTAAACAGAGGCGTGTGGAGTAAGGAAACTTGCCCAACTTGTCGCCCTGTCCGGGAATCAAACTCAGCTCCTCTCGCTTGCGAGGCGAGTGCTGTAACCACTGAGCTACAGGGTGTATTGCGTAATGTGAGGAAATGGTGTCTTTTACGTTAACCTCTTTTTTTGAGTTTTTTTGGAAGCTTCTGAACTTAATGTAATTTTATTATAAACAGGCAGAAACCAGCAATTTCTGTGGGATACCCGGCTGTGGTGGGTATGAAGCTTTCTTAGCACCTGTGGACTTTGGATACTGTAGGAAACCTGGATGTGGTGAATATCTAAACCCAAGCGACAGAAGACCAGCAGAAATTGATTCTGTTCTTCAAGATCTGCAGGGATTTTTTGACCAAAGATATGGTAAGGATTGTTCTAGTAACTGCTGATGACCAATACTCTAAGTAAAATTGTCTTAACCATTTTAGCACTGAAGCTGCTGTGAGAAGTTGCAGTGGAGCAAATTGAGAAATTGTTTTGTAGTATGTAGTACCTCCCTGAATGGATTTCCATCTTACTTGCCTAAGGCTGGGCAGCACTGATGCAAATAAGCAGAAACTGAGCGATTGAGGACCCAAAAGGTCCTGGGATAATGGAATTGACAAAACTTTGTGCTAAAACACTGACTAGATTTCTACTTCTGCTTGAAAAATATGATGCTGTAAAAGTCTGATCTGTATAAATCGTATAATCTCCTAAATCATACATCTGCCCAAATCCCGTTCAAACGTTTATATTCTCTGCAAGTTTGACATAATGCATACTTCGCATAAGTCGTATCAAATGTTTGGTCCCAACTGATATGACTTGTGTGAGGTTTACTGTGCAATGGTGCAGTGTAGTATAAGTTGTTGTATCTAGTCTTGTGTTGAGTCGTGTTTTTAATCAGATTTGTACTCCTAACAGATATGTTATTATTTCTAAGCGTTCTGAGATGTTACCCATATTATTATTATCTAAGCGTTTTGAGACGCTACCCTGTGTGGAGGGTGATATTGTTGTTGCTGTTGTATTTGTCTTGCTTGAATTTGACCTTGCATGTACTCAGCAAATCCCATTTAAATCTCTGTGTATTGCAGAGAGAGAGGGTTATGAGAGAAGGGAACAAAGATTCCGCAGGAGGCGAAATGCTTATGTGAATGACGGTAATGACTATGAGGTAAGCAGACGTGCATTGACTGTTATTATAGTATAGATTGGAAGAATATACGTTCTTTTTGTTTTGTTTGTGGGGTGGGAGAGGGAAAGGAGACTGGAACACATACTCAGCACAGTGTAAAGATATTATCTGTGCTTTTGCCTAACTTCCCCATTTGCAAAATCTCCAAATTTGCATCTTAACAGCAAACTTGGGTTTGAATTATCAACTCATCCTCTCAGCTATCTCTTCAGGATTAACAGGTTTGTCTGCATGATAATGA